AGCCACTGAGTCAGGCCTGGAGAGTGGTTTTAAACAGAGGAAGTAAAGGAAGGTCACATGTCAGCCTTGCACACTGGCCTGAGGTGCCCAAAAGGTGCTAAATCAGAATCTACAGCACAGAAAAAGGAATTCCTCCAGATGGACAGGGAGTGGAGTCAAAAGCAACCTATACATCCCTGCCTTTTGACTACAGTAGCTCTAGAGATATCTCCTAATATGAGGACAAGTTAATGGGAAAAAAAATAACCTGATACCTATGAAAAAAATAATGTGCCACAAGGGCAATGGAGGCTATTCTGAAGAGCAAATAACTAAAATAAAACCATGAAAGCCACAAGAATTTCTCCACACGAAAACTATATCATTATGATGTGTCAATACAGATTCATCAATTGTAATAAATATACCACTTTGGTAGACGATGCTGATATCGAAGGAAGTTAGGCATGTGTGACGCAGGCAAGTATATGGGATGTTTCTATACCTTCCTCTCAGTTTTGCTGTGAATCTAAAATTGCTCTAAAAAATAAAGCCTTGGCTGGTCACAGTGGCTCATGCCTATCACCCTAGCATTTTGGGGGGCCACGGTGGGCAGATCACCTGAGGTTAAGAGTTCAAGACCAGCCTGGCCAACATGGTGAAATTCCATCTCTACTAAAAATACAAATATTAGTCAGGTGTGGTGGCACACGCATGTAATCCCAGCTACTAGGGAGGTGGAGGCAGGAGAATTGCTTTCATCTGGGAGGTGGAGGTTACGGTGAACTGAGATCCTGCCACTGTACTCCAGCCTGGGCAACAGAGTGAGACTCTGTCTCAAAAAAAATAAACAAATAAAGCCTTAAAAAAGACTATATGAAACAGGGACAGAAAGTCACATATAAGATGAAAAGACAATAGGATAAAATGAAAAAGAAGTGAGAGAAATACAAGCACAATAGCAAATTAACCATCGGAGATAGTGTGGAACAGAAACTAAGCCGTAGAACACCTTATCAGGCTGTCCTTTTTAATACAGAGGACAAACGTAAAAAGACTCCAGAATGCAGAAGAGAAAGCCGGAACTAATGAGAAATGGTGCTAATAACTACAGGGAAAGGGAAAGGGAAGCCAAGGTAAGAATAAGTGTTTCTGAGAATCCAGAACAACTGGAACAGAAGCAATTAAAACTACAACTAAAGGAAAATAGGCCTGGTGCCATGGTCATGCCTGTAATCCCAGCACTCTGGGAGGCCAAAGCGGGATGACTGTTTGAGGCCAGTAGTTTGAGACCAGCCTGGACAATATAACAAGACCCCATCTTAACAAAAAATTTAAAAATTAGCTGGGCATGGTGGCATGCACCTCAAGTCCCAGCTATTAGGGAGGCTGAGGTGAGAGGATAGTTTGAGTCCAGGACTTTGAGGGCTGCAGTGGGCTGTGATCGAGCTGCTGTACTCTATCTTGGGCAACAGGGCAAGACCCAGTCTCTAAAACAAATAAAAAATAAAAATAAGAATAAACTGGAAGTCAAAAAAAAAAAAAAAGACTAAGTGGGTTCCCTATGTTCCAGTGAAGAGTAGAGGTAGGGGAATCAATGAAGAAATGATGGTATTGCATTTTTTTTTTTTTTTTGAGATAGAGTCACGCTCTCTCACCCAGGCTAGAGTTCAGTGGCTTGATCAGAGCTCACTGCAACCTCAAACTCCTGAACTCAAGTGATCTTCCCTCCCACCTCAGCCTCCTAACTGGCTAGAATTACAGGCATGCACCATTACATCCAGCTAATTTTTGTATTTTTTTGTAGAGATAAGGTTTCGCCATGTTGCCCAGGCTGGTCTTGAACTCCTGGGCTCAAGCGATACTCCCACCTCAGCCTCCCAAAGTTCTGGAACTACAGGCATGAGCCACCATGCCTGGTTGATATTGCTTTTAAGATGAGGGGGGGAACCCATCAATTTAAAACTATATACATAGTCTATAATAATCACATATATATCATATAAGGGCTAACATACACAGGGACGAATACTGGAAAAGGTCCAATGGAATGGTAACAAGGGTTATTCTAAGTTGTGGGTGCAGTAGAAAGGTGAACCTCTCCCCCTTTGGAAATGGGGGATACACATGGTTCTCAGATAAGTGAACTATGAGAGGACATAAGAAATAAGCTGAGTGTGTACCTATGCAACAATCTTGCATGTTATTCACATGTACCCCAAAACCTAAAATGCAATAAAAATAAAAATTAAATTAAAAAATAAGCTGAAAGAGGTAAGTTATAGCCCAGGCTACTATCTATATGACTATATTAATATACCTACAGAAAATGTAAGTAAAATTGCTGTTAATTAAACCACACAGAATCAAAAAAAGAGAGCTACAGACATAAATGCTCCTGCAGCATTAGGTGGGGGAAGTTAGCCAAAGGAATTTGAGTCTTCTGACCTTAAGAGTGAGAACACTGCTTATGTGGAGATGGCTATAGGCAAAGTTATCCCTATCAAAGCCTGATGCCAGGAAACAATGACTTTACATTCTACCTATCTAACCCCCTTGTTCTGATTCCATGGTCATGAAATGACCTTCTACTTATGATTCTGTTCCACACATAATTATATCCAAAGGAAGGGAATGTGCTGATCAAGCAACTACATGTTTAACCTATGAGATTGCAACTCCTTGTTAAAATTAATAAACTGGATTATCTGGGGAAAGAATGTGCTAATTTATCTATTTATTTGAGACAGTGTCTTGCTTTGTTGCCCAGGCTGGAGTGCTGTAGCTCAGTCATAGCTCACTGCAGCCTCAAACTCGAGCTCAAGGGATCCTCCTGCCTTAGTCTCCTGACTAAGCTGGGACTACAGGCATGTGCTACGCTGCCCAGCTAATTTTTTAAAAAAATTTTTCGTATAGACAGGGGCTCACCATGTTACCCAGACTAAGAATATGCTAAAATTTAAAAGACTAAGTATTTAAGTGTGAGGAAAGCTATTTAAGCTTACTGGTTCATAGGCTTTGGAATCAGAGAAATACAAGCTTTTGTTTTATTTTGTTTTGTTTTTTGAGAAAGAGTTTTGCTCTTGTTGCTCAGGTTGGAGTATAATGGCATGATCTCGGCTCATGACAACCTCCACCTCCTGGGTTCAAGTGATTCACCTGCTTCAGCCTCCCACGTAGCTGGGATTACAGGTGCCTGCCACCACAAGTGGCTAATTTTTGTATTTTTAGTAGAGACACGGTTTCCCCTTATTAGTCAGGCTCATCTCAAACTCCCAACTCAGGTGATCCACCTGCCTCAGCCTACCACAGTGCTGGGATTACAGGCGTGAGCCACCATGCACGGCAGAAACATGAGTTTAAATCTTGGCTCCGCCATGTGCTGGCTGTGCAATCGCAGATGCAAAATGAGAGTATTATCTGTCTTGAGGGAGCACAGGCATTAAACAGGACAATGCATACAAAGTACTTAGCAGTGTTTGGCACATAGTAGGTGCCCAGTAAATATTTGTTGAATAAATAAAATGAATATACATGATCAATAAGTGGTTCTTATTATTTAAAATTTGGAACTTAAATGAGCTCAGTTCATGCATGCCTTCCTTTAAAAGACAGATCCAATCTTAGGGCATTGGGTAAAAATCAGAGTTTTGGACTTAACTAACTTGAAGACCATATTCTTCCAGACTTTGATAAGCTCTCTAGTTATTTTCCACCATCCTGTAAGAGGTCTTTTGAATAAAGACTGAAAGTCTTGTTTTTTCTGATTTTAATACTCTGGATAGCAGCATTATGAGTAACTATTTCCTTTCTATTGTTTCAAATTGTCTATAATACAAAAAAGTCTTTTTAATTACCTAAATTTTTTTTAATTACCACAAAAATTTGGAAAAAGAAAAGATAAATGATAAAGAATAAATGAAATAAAGCTGGAAATAAGGTTTGGCACTAAAATGTATTGCAATAAGGTGCCACAGATTTGCTAACGATAGCAAGGAAATTCATCCCTAAATTTTCTATCAGCCTTCTTAAAAAAGAAAAAATCTATGAGAGTCACAACATCTAAAAGATCAGAATAAGGTAAGGACACAGAAAAAGCACACTCATTCTTATTAGAAAACCGTGAGAGAAATTCTTCACCCCACAGGTATTCATTAGTGTTTCTTCTTTCAGTAAGCCACTGGAAAAATGCCAGAACACAAAGTCTAAAATGTAAACTCTGGACCAATTCAAGGGAAGTATTGTTTCTGAACTACAGAAACAAAACAAAGTAAAACCCACACCTCCTTTGAAGTTAATTTCTTCCATAAAATAGTCACATAACACAAACTGTGGAAATTGTGTTAGATGTATTTGATATACGACACATTTTTCCGCAAAATAACATATCAACATGCAATACCTAAAGAAAGTATGAAAGAAAATAAATAAAACCTGAAAAAAAGTTTTTTTCAGACTTTTTTTTTAACCAAATGCAAAGAATATATTAATAACGTCTTCTTCTTCTTTTTTTTTTTTTTTGAGATAGGGTCTTGCTCTGTCACCCAGGCTACAGTGCAATGGCATGCTCATGGCTAACTGACGCTTCAACTTTTTAGGCTCAGGTGATCCTCCCACCTCAGCCTACTGAGTAGATGGGACTACAGTCTCATGCCACCATGCCCAGCTTATTTTTTTTTTTTGTCTTTATTTGTAGAGACGGGGTTTCGCCATGTTGCCCAAGCTGGTCGTGAACTGGATTCAAGTGATCCATTTGCCTCAGCCTCCCAAAGTGCTGGGATTACAGATAATGAGCCACTGTGCCCACCCTTATTAATAACTTCTTACTGGTAGATGGAACAAAACAACCTTCTTTACTAGAATTAACTGAGATCTCACATGACTTGTTTAGTTTCAATTACAAAATAGTTTAAAAACAGAAGGCAGAAATGTCACTGTTATAGGATCAATTCCATATTTTGGAAGAAATACATTAAGTTAGTACCTACATTTTCTAACATAAAATATAGTCTAGATCTTACCAGTTGATTCCATTTTCTTGGTAATTGGTTCTGGGTATTCATCTAAGAAGAAATCTGGTAGCAAAGTATGACCTGAAAATTGACCCCAAACCATTAGGTTAATGTAACTACAATATATTAAGATTTTAACATCTGTTTAATAAACATATGTTTTATTAAAAATCATTCTGGTGTAATAGAAAAGGCCTCCGTGAGAACTATCAAATGACCTGATCATTAAATTAATTTTCTCATAATTCAGTTATCCTCCTCTCCTCTGATAAATTTTATCTTCCAGATTTAATCCCCAAAAAATCGCCTGGTCTGTAAAGCCTTTACCTGCTCTCCCAGGGACCTCTGCCCTTCTCACCCTGCACTGCTCTTCTGACCCACATTCTTCCAAAGTGCTCAGGATTCATTTCTTACCTGCCCTCCTAAGAGCACAGGGTCCCTTCTTAAGAAGGACTTTCTTCTCAGCATTAGTGCGTTTGAGTCTTTTCTCTCTTCTTCCTCTCATTCCATCATCGTGAAAACTAAGCTATCCTATTTCATCCTATTCCACTGGGCTGTTATTATTATTATTATTATTATTATTATTATTAAGACAGGGTCTCACTGTCACCCAGGCTGGAGTGCAGTGGCACGATCTCGGCTCACTGCAATCCCTACTTCCTGGGCACAAGTGGTCCTCCTCCCTCAGCCTCCTGATTAACTGGGACCACAGGCACAAGCCACCATGACCAGCTAATTTTTATTTATTTTTTTGAGACGGAGTCTCGCTCTGTTGCCCAGGCTTGAGTGCAGTGGAGTGATCTTGGCTCACTGTACCCCCTACCTTCCAGGTTCAAGCACTCCTCCTGCCTCAGCCTCCTGAGTAGCTGAGATTACAGGTGCCTACCACCACACCTGGCTAATTTTTGTATTTTTTTAGCAGACAGTATTTCACCATATTGGTCAGGCTGGTCTCGAACCCCTCACCTCATGTGATCCACCTGCTTCGACCTCCCAAAGTGCTGGGATTACAAGCGTAAGCCATCACGCCTGGCCACTAATTTTAATTTTTTGCAGAGATGGGGTTTTGCCACATTGCCCAGTATGGTCTTGAACTTCTTGGTTCAAGCGATCTGCTGGCGTCAACCTCCCAAAGTGCTGGGATTACAGGTGTGAGCCACTGCACACAGCCTCCACTGGGTCTTATTTTCAGCTAATGGTTGTGGTTAGCAAATAGGTTAACTGTTCTAATTACACTGATAACTCCAAGACATAATCACTAGGAGATTAAAAGGCCACAAAGCCTTCAAAACTGTAGTACAATGAGATGTTAACAATCTCAATTGTTCTCCCTCCCTCCCTCCCTCCCTTCCTTCCTTTTTTTTTTTTTTTTTTTTGAGATGAGGTCTTGCTGTTTTGCCCAGGCTGGTCTCAAACTCCTGGGCTCAAATGAGCCTCCTGCCTCAGTCTCCTGTCTCTCTCCCTCTTTTTCAGAAGTTTAAGTAAACTTCTGGAGGGCAGGAATGAATTCATTTTTGTTATAGCCTCATATCATAGTATCTGGTCATATTAAGTTCTCAATATGTAATAGGATTTTTAATTTAAATAAAATTTTTAAATTTGTTTAAAATTTTAAAATTTAAACAAGTTTAAAAGTTTTAAAGACAAAGTATAATTTTAAAATATACTGTGTCTTTAAAACTTAAAGTAATAATTACATTTCTGGGCACCAGGACCCAGAAGACCTGAATCTGGTCAGGTTCTGCCACCTATTAGCTGTCTGCTCTTAGGCAAAGACTCAATATCTCTGAGCCTGTTTTTCCACTTGTAAATATTAACTACTAAATATTTTGAGTGTACTATATGCCAGGCACTGTGACAAACACATTATACATTACCACGTTTAGTCTTTACAAAAGTCTTGTGTGAAATGTATCATTTTCTTAAGTTTACCTATAGGGAAATTGAGGCTGAGACAGACAAACTGGGTAACATGCTCAAAGCTGCATAGCAGTGAGCAGAGCCGCAGTAGGAACCTGGGTTGTTCCATGTTCTTAATCATTAAACATTACTTCCCTTACAGAATTGTTCGGAGGCTAAATAGATAATGCCTATAAGAGTGCTTTGTAAAACTATAATCTGCTATTTAATTCAGTTTGAACTGCAGAGATGAGCAGGGATGATACAAACATAAACATGTTTTGTGTCATTTAGAAGCTCAGTTTAATGAATAATATTTAAAATATATTTTAGCACAAATAAATGTAACTCCCATGTACGGCTATATTAGAATACATTATATTCTATATGTTAAAAATCCATTATTATCATCATCATCCACAGTTTCAGAGAGGGAGAGTTATTGAACAAGAGGGTTTTCTGGAAGCTCCTCCGATCACTTTACTGTCCATAAGACAGACTCTGCCCACTCATCTACGCCATCTGTCATTAAGCTACTCTAAGAGACTGCACTTAAGAGACAAATATTTGGCTGGTGGCTCACGCCTGTAATTCCAGCACTTCGGGAGGCTGAGGCAGGTGGATCACAAGGTCAGGAGTTCTAGACAAGCCTGACCATCATGGTGAAACCCCGTCTCTTTTAAACATACAAAAATTAGCTGGGCATGGTGGTACATGCCTATAATCCCAGCTACTTTGGAGGCTGGAACAGGAGAATTGCTTGAACCAGGGAGGCAGAGGTTGCAGTGAGCCAAGATTGTGCCACTGCAATCCAGCCTGGGCAACAGCGCAAGACTCTGTCTCAAAAAAAAAAAAAAAAAAAAAAAAGACAAATATTTACAGAGTCCCTCATAAATATTTTTAATCTAAAAAATTCTCTACTGGGCCAGGTGCGGTGACTCACACCTGTAATCCTAGCACTTTAGGAGACTGAGGCGGGCAGATCACTTGAGCTCAGGAGAGTTCGAGATCAGGCTGGGCAACATGGTAAAACCCCACATCTACAAATACAAAAATTAGCCAGGTGTGGTGGCACATGCCTATAGTCCCAGCTACTCGAGAGGCTGTGGTAGGATTGCTTGCACCCAGGAGGTGGACGTTGCAGGGAGCTGAGATCACTCCACTCCACTCCAACCTGGGTGACTGACTGAGTGAGGCCCTTTCTCAAGTAAATAAATAAATAAATAAATAAATAAATAACCCACTACTGTATCATCTATCACCACATAATCTTAAACAAAATCTTGATTCTGTGATTTTAAGGCCAACTTTAAAAAATAATTTTCATTTCTTATTTTGAGATTTGGAAGTAGCTAGTAGCTGATCTTTCTGTGCTTATATATATCACTCCAAAAGCCCTCAACTCACCTCTATGTTTCATTCATTTCTTTTTTTAAGTTGTGTTGGTATGGGTTTTTTCCTTCATTGGAAAGACAGCTTTTAAAAGAACATATTCATTTTATAATCACACAAAAAACAGATGCGTTCATTCCAGAAAACATGGAAAAACGTATCACTACTTTTAAAAACCAGAATACCATTACCTGGTTTAATTGCATAGGCATCAAAATTTTTTATTCCTTCTTCTTTTAAGATATTTTCATCAATGACAAAGTTGCCGGTAAAACTTTTTGGCTTTTTGAAGATGGCATATGCTGCATCTGCAATGATATCAACTTTTCTACACTGGCTTTCGATACCAGATCCTCCCAGCATATCCATAGCAGCAGTGTGTATGGCTGGAGAGAAAACACACACACACACAGACAGATGCTCGTAACTCCAAATCAAATAATAAAACTATGGAAGTAACAAGCAAGCACCACCCTTCACAATTATCAAGGCGAATCCCTTCATTTCTCAGTTGATGAAAACAAGGTCCACAGTGCTTAAGAGATTTGACAAATGTTCTACAGAGAAAACTGGGTAGAGAACACATTTTCCTAGGCAACACTGCCTTATACTACAGACTCAACCTTAAGACGCAAAGTAAAATTCAATGAACTGATTTAGAATGCTCAAGAATTTGCATGCCTTTTAAAGGAATAACTGAAGAGACCTCTAACAGCTTCTAATTGATTCTCCTGATAACAGCTAACTGATTACTGCCTGAAAACAGTCAATACCAACAGTCTTAAGGCGAAAGATTTCCTTTCACATAAACATATGGAGGCATATGAGGCTGAAAACATCAGCACTCTTCTGGGAAGAGAGCTTGTTTTTCCTCTTTGACACCTGTCAACCACCACCAAACACATGCACACACTTGTGTGGTATCCACTGAACCGATCCCACTGACTATAAAGTGCACCATTACTTTAGGGACCACTAAGGAAACTAAAAAGCTGCCAATTAAATTATGAGATATCATTCATTGTATGATACAGACCGGTATCAGAGATGTACAAATATAAAACATGGGCATCTCAGAATAAACGAAAATGGTATAAATTGTTTAACCTGGTCAGTAAAAATAGGTTCCTTGAAAAACACTCAATAAATATTGGCTGGATTTCTGGGGGTCCTTTTTAGATTCAGACAATACTGCTTTGTAGAAAATATTAGAAAACAGCTGGGTGCAGTGGCTCATGCCTGTAATCCTAGCACTGTGGGAGGCCAAGGTGGGTGGATCACATGAGGTCAGGAGTTCGGGACTGGCCTGGTCAACCTGATGAAACCCCATCTCTACTAAAAATACAGAAATTAGCCAGGTGTGGTGGCAAGCGCCTGTAGTCCCAGTTACCTGGGAGGCAGAGGCAGGAGAATCATTTGAACCTGGTAGGAGGAGTTTGCAATGAGCTGAAATCACTCCACTATATTCTATCCTGGGTGACAGAGCAAGACTCTATCTCAGGAAAAAAAAAAAAAGAAAAGGAAATAAAGAGAAGTAAAAGGAAAAATTGCTTAATTAATTATAATTTCCCTATCCAGGGATAACTGCTGTTAATGTTTGCATATAATTTTTTTCTGTGTTAGGTATACTTTAAAAATTATGTCTCTTATATGAAGTAACTTGAAACTCTACAATTAACAGTACATTATTAATTACACATTGTCAACAGTAACATCTCAATTTGCTTACATATATCCTAGTTTACATCAAACAGGAAAAGACTATTTATTTATTTTCCAACATAATTCATAGGTTCACAGAAAGTCAATTTATGTAAACAAACTTTAGGTTTGAGAGTTTCTAGTATTTAGATAAAACGTATTTCCATACATTGTTAAAATATAATTTTAAATTATTACATACTAGAATAACTTACATACTTTTGGTCTATAAGATGAAATGTCTATAGCTTTTAAGAGCCATTGGCCCTTTTTCATTCATTCAACATAGTTATTGAGCACTTACTATAAGTCAGGTGCTATTCTAGATATTAACGACACAGGAGTTGACAAAATAGATATAAAGCATTACCTTCATGGAACTTACATCCTTATTTTTTTTAATGTTCAATTAATTTAGGGAATTTCTTGAAAGCATTGAGTTAGAAGATACTTCTCTATTTCATAACTAAAAAATCATTTAGGAGGAATTTTTGTTTTTTTGAGATAGGGTCTCACTCTGTCACCCAGGCTGAAGGCAGTGGTAAGATCATGGCTCTCTGCAGCCTTGATTTCCTGGGCTCTCAAATGGTCCTCCTACCTCAGCTTCCCACCACATCCAGCTTATTATTATGATGATTATTTGCAGAAATGAGGTCTTGCTATGTTTCCCAGGCTGGTCTCTAACTCATGGGCTCAAGCCATCCTCCTGCCTTGGCCTCCCAAAGTGCTGGGATTACAGGTGTGAGCCACCATACCCAGCCCGAGAAATAATTTTTTTCCTTAACCAACAGATCAAGAGCAAGAACTCTGGTCTCACTCTTGAGCTGATCCTTCTTCATTAATAAAAAATATATATAGCAGCTGGGTGTGGTGGCTAGAGCCTATAATCCCAGATATTCTGGAGGCTGAGGCAGGAAGATGGCTTGAGCCTAGGTATTTGAGGCTGCAGTGAGCTATCTGCAGTGAGCCACTGCATTCACTATCTGGGTGACAGAGTGAGGCTCCATTTGTTTATCTAAAAAAACAAATTAAAAATAAATAAAATAAAATAAAATAAAGAATAGCACCTGCCATTCATTAAGTATACCCTGTGCTAGGCATGCTGTTATATATTTTACATACATCATCTTAATTAATTCTTAGAACCCTGAGGTAGGTCCTGTTGTTATTCCCATTTTACAGATAGGAGCACTCAAGCACAGAGAAGTTAAGTAACTTCCGTGCCAAGGTCACGGAAGCTAAAATTCAAGCACCCAGCAGCCTGACTTCAGAGCCAGGCTCTCATCCATGATACAACTAAATGGGTTATACCTTGTTAACCAAAGTTCTTGGAGTTCAGTTATCATCTCACTCCTGAAAACTGCAGAACTTTTCTGTACATAATTGAGCATAATCTATTTTGAGACTATATGCATACATGCACAATCCTAGTCTCCATGTAAACTACATGAATTGTACAAGAATCCTTAAAAACTCTAAATTAGAAGTCTAATAAAAATATGTATAAGTATACTCATGCTGTGTGTATGTGTGAGTGTCTATAGAATAAGAAATGTTCCTCCAACCTATCATTACTTTAACAATCTTTTTAGGAAAGATACAAAGAAGGTACAACTAGACACTCAAAATCAAGAAGTGGGCCACTGAGTATTTCTCAACAAAGATTTTGCAATGCCAACAAGCTAACCCAACAGGTTAGAAAAACTGATAAGCATAAAAGCAGGTTAACAGTCAATCAAATGAAATTTACTGATGATTTCCGGGAAAGAAAATAAGCAAGATTTATAATGAAAGCAGATAAGCCATGGATCACAGGAGTCACAAAATCAACCCTAAAACTTAAGTCTTATTAAGAAATAACTGGCTGGGCATGGTGGCTCATGCCTGTAATCCCAGGACTTTGGGAGGCTGAGGCGGGTGGATCACGAAGTCAAGAGTTGAGACCAGCCTGGCAAACATGATGAAACCCCATCTCTACTAAAAATACAAAAATTAGCTGGGCGTGGTGGCACGTGCCTGTAATCCCAGCTACTCAGGAGGCCGAGGCAGGACAACTGCTTGAACCTGGGAGGCAGAGGTTGCAGTGAGCCAAGTTCGTGCCACTGCACTCCGGCCTGGTGACAGAGCGAGACTCTGTCTAAAAAAAAAAAAAAAAAGAAAGAAATAACTGAAGCTGGGCACAGTGGCTCACGCCTGTAAATCTAGCACTTTGGGAGGCCAAGGTGGGCGGATCACAAGGTTAGGAGTTCAAGACCAGCCTGACGAACATGGTGAAACCCTGTCTCAAAAACAAAACAAAACAAAACAAAAGATAAGAAATAACTGAAGAGATATCTAATAGCTTCCAACTGATTTTCCTGATAACAGCTTACAGGTTACTGCCTGAAAACAGACAGTACAACAGTCTTAAGACCAATCTGAGATTTCCTTTCACATAAATATATGGAGTACATATGAGGCTTAAAATATCAGCATTGCCTGTGATGACTCCTCTGGGAAGAGAGCTTGTTTCACCTCTTTGACACCTGTCAGCCACCACCAAACACATGCACACACTCATGTGTATATCCACTGAACCAATGATACCACTGATTATACAGCTCACCATTACCTTAGGAACCACTAAGGAAAGAAAGAAGCTGCCAATTAAACTATGATATATCACCCATCATAAGATACAGACTGATAGCAGAGATGTACAAATATAAAACACAGGCATCTCAGAATCAATGAAAATGGTATAAACTGTTTAACCTAGTCAGTGAATAGGTCCCTTGAAAAATAGGGAAACCAGTTTTGATTTCTAGCACTGGACAGGAAGGAGATGAGCTGCCACCTTGTCGCCTCACCCTCCCTGGCTTATTTGTAATAAAGTCCAGGTGACAGACACCTGCAGCTGCTCCGTGAAGCTTCTGCTACCTTCCTCTCTGCAGTCATTACCAAATCAGTAGCTGCCATTCCCAGACTCCCCACCCCAAGCCCAAATAAAACCCATCCAAAAGTAGATATTCCTGCTTCTACCACACTTGTCCAGACCAGTCACGAGGTAAGAGGAGTAGGCATCGTGAATAGCAGCCATCATCTCTCTCCTTTCCCACCCTCCATTTCAGCAGGAACCATGAAACAGATCTTATAATAAAAAGAAAAACACTGCAATTCTGGAGGTGACCTAGTTGGAGACCTGAGATTCCATGTTGTGAAACAACTGGAGGCCGGCCCTCTGATCCCTTCTCTGGATGTGCTGAGTTCAGCAGGGAGAAAGTGCTATACCCAGGAGGAGCAATGAAGCCAGTGTTGAGAAGGAACACACAGCTAAGTAAAGCCAAACAGCAGACCAGGACACTGCTCTGTGGATAATACATGCTACACTGCACCCACTCTGTTAACTACCATAAATCTCCTGTTCCTTGAAAGGCAGTAATGCTGGGAGATTACTTCTGGTTCCAGCTGACATAAAGACAGTCATCTAAGATGAGGAGATGAGTGTTTTCTTTTAAATAGAGGCCTCTCAAACAGCCAAGAGCCTGGACACCCTCTCAAACCCAGTTTCACTTCTCCATTTGCCCTAAACCTCATCAACAACCATATTACTTCATGGCTCCTATTTTTCCCAGTTTATTATTAATCCTCTGCTTTTTTTTTTTGCATTTATGAAATTTATTGTCTAGTGAAGGGAGACAGAAAT